AGCAGCAGTGGCAGGAGTTCCGGCGAGACTTCCGGCGAGTGTAGCTCTGGTAGCGGCTGGCATTCTCCGGCGGCGGGACCCGGTAGACCTGATCTTTGGGGATCTGGATGACGTAGGTGCCCGGCGGAGGGACGGGCTTCTCGGACTCTGGCGGGGAGGACCTTGATAAGGACAACGGCGTCGTTTCGGTGTGAAAAGGAGAGTCACGCGGGTGGACTCGGTCGGCCATTTGGGGCTGCAGTGAAATTGAAACGAACTACAGAGAGTGAGAGGTAGGCGGAAATTTCTGTCTGACAAATGAAAAAAGCAGGCCAGAGAGAGCGAGGAGAGAGAGAGTAAGATGAGCTTTGATGTTTTTTAAGTTTTTATTTATACATACTGAAACCGCGTTCGAAAAGGGTATATTTGGAATTTTAGAAAAATAATTCACTGATTCAAAAAATTTCGCACACGGAGAATATACAATCGGTTGGTAATTATGATTTTTTATTTTTTATTTATAAACAAGGATAATTAAAAATCTTTACCATAAATGCATTTCTAATTCCAAAACGAAGGGAATTAAATTGATTGAGGGACCAAACCAACAAATTGCATGATCTGAAAATGGAATTTAAAAACAAAAAGGAATAAAAAATTGGGGAGGACATTCTTTTGAAATACTTATTTATTTATTTATTATTTAAAAAATACATAGGTTGTGACAGGAAGGCACTAGTGTCGTCTACATGTACAATTGAAAAGTGTTTTAAGATTTATAGTTGGGCGCACGTTATAGACAAAACAATTCAATAATTTCCAGATTTTTCGGTAATTTCTCTTTTCCCAAGTTTAATTGATGACATCCATTGACAAACATCGGAGACAGCCAAAAATTAATTGACAAATGAGGTATGCTAAAGATTAGAAAGTTGGCTTAAAGGTGGATGTACTCTTCATTCTACACCCGAGTTTGAATCTTCTTCCCCGTTAGGAATGGTAAAGAGCCAAATAGCGGCCGGATATGGCAATACCATCCCCGGCCCCATCCCCATCCCCATTTAAGTGGTTTCGGTTCGGGGAATCCTCGTCCTCGTACCAGTCGGGGGCTATCCCCCATCCCTGGTTCGAATCCCCTATTTTTTTAAATGATCTTTATGTTTCCAAGACAATCCCCCTTCCCGTAGTTTAATTTAGTTTAAAGTAGAATATCATTTGTATAAAAAATAAAATAAAAAAGATCAGAAAGTGAAAATCATAACATAGCCTGAGCTTATTTGTGGTTTGCTATTTCCTTCTTAAAGTAAACGTATGATTGCATAAGTTTGTTTAAAGTGTTAACGAAGAACAAAGAAAAAGAAATTGAGGAGGAAAAAGAAGTTAAGATGAATGGATGACAAAGGAAATTAGATGAAGAACAAAATGGGCAAGAAATATAAACATACTAGTACAAGTATAAAGGAATTAAGGAGATTTACCTGATGAAGAAAGTTGAAAGCCGATAATAATAGGAGGAGAGCTGTAGCTGAATGAGAGAGAAGAGGCAGAGCAAACCAAACTCTATAAGCTATTAGCTATATATAAGTCTTAGATTAGGTAGCTGCTGCAATGGCTAATGATGATGCCGCAGTCTTGACGGAGTATGCCAACTGAACGAGTCTCTGCTTTCTATGTATATATATATAGAATTTTGAGTCTCTATTTAGCATCGGTGTATTTAAACGCATTAAAAACACATTAAAGAAAATTTAATAGAGTCTGACTGAGTAAGAAGGGTTTGGTTGAGTTGGGTACAGTTCATTCCTTCTTCTTCATGTCAATTAATTTTAATTAATTATTGTTTAAGAAAACAAAATCCCATCTTAATAATTAGCTTTATCTATGCAAGAAACTGGAGAGAGAGAGAGAGAGAGAGAGAGAGAGAGAGAGAATGCGTCAACTTTCAAGGAAGTGTTCAAATAAATGTCTTTATCTGCCTCGTCCTCAACTAATTTAGAGTGCGTGTGCAGGCAGGGTACGCAGGCGGGCACGCAGGCAGGCAGGCTTGCATTGCAGCTGTGAAAGATATTATGGTATCAAAACATTCGGCTAAATGGCAGTTGGCACACGCTTCCTTACCAACACACTCAATCAACTCCACACGCTCTTTCTTTCTTTCTGCTTTTAACCAGTACAAAACACGCTTTTCTTCTAAGATTGCTCGCTTTCCTACTAGGGTATACTAGTGATTTGCCCCCTGAACTTATACTTTGGTTTCAATTGACTATCTATTCTTGTTTTTTAGAAAATTAAGAATATTAACTTCTTTTTTTCGCCAATTTCCCCCCTACTGTCTAAATCATCAACAATTCATTCAATTTTCAGTTAAATTATTAAAAATAAATTTATTTTTTTAGAAAAAAAATTAAAGAAAAAGGAACAAAACAAAAACCTATCCTACCCACAGACCCCCCATTTCCCACCTACAACTCACCCTCTTCCCCACCTGCAACTCACCCCAAGATAAATTCGCAACCCATCCCCCCTCCCCACCGTCGCTGCCTCCCCTTTCGCAACACACCCCCAAAACCCCCATTTCCCACCTGCAACTCACCCTCTTCCCCACTTGCAACTTACCCCAAGACAAATTCGCACCCCATCCCCTCTCCAGGGACGGACCGTTCCTTTGTCTAACCTGGGCTATAGCCCAGGCAAAATATTTTTTTTTTCTAGTGTAAATTAGCAAACCTAGCACACCTCCCCAAGTTCCAATCAACCCATGTAAATGGACCCCAACTGACAGATTTAGTGCATTGACTAGGTGGAGTTGCGTGTGAGGGCACCTCCCCTTTTTAATCCACCCCATATTACCCCACACTTTCCCAATTTTATTAACATTTAACACTTCACATAAATAAAAACAAACCAAAAATCTTCACATACAGAAACAATTAACATTAAAAACCACACTTCCCCGTTAAATTTATGTTTAAATTAAAACCACACCCCATTCCTCAACTTTAAAATTGTAATAATTTTTTGTTTAATATTGTAAAATTAACATAAAAAAGAATTTTGAAAAATTATTTGAGTATGAGATATACATGAATTGTTCTATTTTAGAGGGGAAAATTTTGGGTTTGAGTTATCTAGCATTAGAGATGGACTTAATAGGTTTGTATACAAGGTAAATTTAGCCCACCCTATTTTGAAATCCTGGGTCCGTCCCTGAGTATGGTGTACTTAATTAATTTTAAGGTTTATTTAAACTATCATTATTGATTATTATTTCAAATTTCAAATTATTTTATTTTTTTAATTTATTTTTAACGTATAAAATGACCACTTTGCCCTTGTATTTAACGGCAACTTGGATGAAATGTTGCAGATTTAGACGGTAAGGGGGGTAATTGGCAAAAAAAAAAGTTTATATCCTTAATTTTATATTAAAAAAAAGGATAAGGGGCAAATCGAAAATTAAGTACAAGTTGAAGGGGTAAATCACTAGTATACCCTTCCTACACTAGTATAACCTTCCTACTATATATCCTACTATTCATATCAACAATAAAAAATTAATTTCAGTGCAAAGGCATTTACATTCCATTTATATTTTTGGATGTAAAATTTATAATAAAAGCAATAGTCTAAATTATTTTAAATTACTTTAATGTACATGTAGAGGATTCTAACTTTGATAGAAGGGGGCGGGCGTACTACCCTTGTTGCCAATTGGTCTAGCCACATATACAATAATGTGGTTTTTGCCTTGTTGCCAATTGATCTAGCCACGTATACAATAATGTGATTTTTGCTACAATAGGAAAATGTTAATGTGAAGATGTAAATTTAGATTTTCATGTATTACTTTGTTTTTTTGTTAGCATTGATTTTACTTTTTCCCAATAAATAGACTAAAAATGTTAAAATTCCAATAAGATAGGATTTCGTCCAACACAAAACATTGGATCGTGAAGTACAAACAATTAATATGAAACACTGGTTTCTTATCATGTGTTTGCACAAAATGCGAGATTTCGGTAAGATAAGATTTCATCTCACACCAACCGTTGGATCAAATAAAGTAGATTCAATATCATCTCTAAATTGCACAAAATTCAAGATCTAATATGATAATATTTCATCTCATCTTAAATTGTTGGATGAGATTCTATATCTCCGGCTCAACCCTCTAATTCTTATATATGATATCATCCAAATTATCTATAAACGTCAAAGTTTTCTTAGTCTCTTTACAATTATTCCATCAAAATCATCCATCTATTAACTAATATAATTCTATTCCACTATACTATAATGAGCCAACAAAACTTATTTGACTCCGATTTCGAAGATGAAATGATGGCGGACATGAACGCAACGTGAGAGATAGCCAAGAAAAAGAATCTAGACAAGGCTAAACATGGTGGTTTGTGGTCAAGAAGGAGGTATGTACCAAGAGGATTATATGCTGTACAATTGTGCCTTATGAAATATTGTTTTGGTGTCACTCCTACGTTGTTGTCAAAATAAAAGTATAAGTTAATTCCAAAAAATAATATAAGATATCCAATAAATTAGTAAAATCATCGGATTGTACCAAGAGGATTATATGATATGATGTACATTTGTACCTTATGAAATATTGTTTTGGTGTCACTCCTACGTTGTTGTCAAAATAAAAGTATAAGTTAGTTCCAAAAAATAATATAAGATATCCAATAAATTAGTAAAATCATCGGATCCACTCTTGTATGGGAAAATTCCTAAACTTCTGTTCTTTGGGTGGCAAATGCAGCAGCCCCTAATAATCGAGGTGGTGTTTATGTAAAATTCCCTTTAAAAATTTGTAATAAGAAAAGTTATCGGAGGCTCTAAGGGACACAATTTGATATTTATGTGCTGTGAAAATAAATCCATGACGTCTCGTTTACTCTTACCCGGCTGGGCAAGTCGGACCCAATTGAATTGAGGCCCATAAACAAAGCCCAGAAGAAAAAGAAACAACAAAAGAAAAACAAACAGCCACTGAAATTAGAGACAGATACGATTAGAAACAGTGCAGTTTTCTCTCTCTAACAATAGTTGATCTGATGCAGTATGCAGCAGAGTCAGAGTGAGCAATTGGTAAGGCGATGAGAGTGTGCAGCGGATGGCGTCGTTTCCTCATCTTTCTCCCTCTTATTTTCATTCTTCCTCTCTTCTTCTCCGGTGAGCCTTCTGTTCTCTTTCTACTTTCTTTCATTTATTTCTTTTAATTTTTAATAAATACACTCTGAAGAAACAACATTCAAATTCACAATTGAAGTTTAAATTTCAGTCAAGCAATTGCATCATAACTCTAATGTGGAAGATTTGCCCAAGAAGAAACAAGGCAACAAATCCAATCACTTGGTTCTTGGACCTGCTGCTGGGCAAGGCTTGAGAAATCGTCTCCAATGCCAAGGTTATTCAATTTCTTTATCAAAATAAATCAAATCAGATTCTTTTGTTCATATAATTTGATTAAATCGGATTTGGGTTTGTGTGGTTGTGTTGTTTACCAATGGTTTTTTCATCTGGGCAGGCACCAAAGCTCTCAACCAAACCCATTCGTCAGCCTCTTCCCATGTGTCCAGTGGGGTGGATGACATTGCCTTTGTCACTGTCTTCACCATATACAACTCCACCATTAATGGGCGCGCCGACAATCAACTGTCACAATTGGTAACCGTTGGGAATGCTTCTTATAATAAAGTGGAGAGGTCAATGGCCATCTTGAATGTCTTCATTAACTTCATTCAGGTAATCGTTATATAGAACATAATGGATTAGTTGCTTAATGTCTATTGTTTTTCTAACACTAAACAATTACCATTGTGATTTATCATGTCTTTGCTAATTTCTAACAGATCTTGGGGTACATGTTTGAGATTTTGTGAGCTCAATATTGATATAGTGAAATTGCAACTGATGGAACGCAGATTTTCTAACGTGGTTTAAACAGAATGTGTAGAAAATCGTATTAATCTCCCATGGCAATTCCACAATAAGGAGTGTGTTCTGTTACCTATTTAAACCAAGGAATGACTGTAATTGAATGGTTCTATATTAGGATCTGCAGACTTTTTAGAATGGTAGGAAAAATTAAGGGTTTTTATTATCAGCAGACTTTGTTGTTTGGATTTTGTATGATACAGATACTTGGTTAGAAGGAAGTCAATATGCTAATTTGTAAACATATTAGCGTATGCTGTTGAATTTTATTTATCATTATGAATTCCCAAATTCATGTCTGTACTTCATACTTGCAGGTATCAATGCCCCGGAGCAATGTAGTCATTCTAACTGACCCAGAATCGGATCTTTCAATGCACAGAAATGGGGTCACTGTACATCCAATTCAAGGTGAATATTCACGTGACCAGTTGATGCTTCAAAGAATCAGGTCTTACATTGTAAGAGCAAGTTATATTATTAACAAGTAGAAAAATCTGTTGTTTATCAGTAGCTATGCTTCTCAGAAATATTACATAGTTTATTTCATTAGTTAAGACCTCTCCTTTTTAAGGTAGGGGGTGCTTTAACAAGAAATTGTTCCCATGTGTAATATTGTATTTATCAGTCATTAGAAAAATGCTTTAATATGATGTTTGTTTCGGATTTCTGTGATTCAGACCTTCCTAGAAACAAAGCTGGAGGAGCTTTCTCAGAAGCAGGGGCATATTCATCATTATATATTCACTGACTCGGATATAGCTGTGGTTGATGATCTAGGATACATTTTTTGTGAGTACCCAAATTTTCATCTGGCACTCACGTTCCGAAACAACAAAGCTCAACCTCTGAATTCAGGATTTATAGCAGTGAGGGGTACTTCCGATGGCATTTTAAGGTGCATTTATCAAATTATCTGGTTTTCTTTTTCATGTTAGCTCGGTTGGTTTGCAACAGGAGATATTTAACTGAAAGTTAATGGTTACTGTTTACCAGAAAACATAAATGCGGTGTTTCTTCTGGACCATTTTCCACATCTCACATACTGTATCGATGCAGGGCGAAGATTTTTCTGCAAGAAGTACTAAAAGTATATGGATCAAGGTACATGAGAGCTTCTAGAATGCTTGGGGATCAGCTAGCTCTTGCCTGGGTGGTGAAGTCACACCCATCTTTTGATGCGAAGAAATTTACCAAAGCCCAAGCTTTCATAGAGGATATTGGCGATGCTTCAGTGTTGTTTTTACCCTGTGCTCTATACAATTGGACACCACCAGAAGGCGCAGGTCAATTTCATGGCATGCCCTTGGATGTTAAGGTATGCGGCAACTGTCCAAAACACACCACCTATTGAATAGAAACAAATATGATACTCAATTGTGGTTATTTGTAAAATTCTTATCAGTCCCTTCTATGCTATATCCTGGATATAGGTTGTTCATTTCAAAGGATCAAGGAAACGCCTGATGCTCGAGTCTTGGAACTTCTACAATTCCTATTCTGACATTTCAGATATGTTGTGCCTGATACTAAAGAGTGGGAGAACAAAGTACGATTTCTGACCAACGTGATTTGGTTTAGTGCATATAAGTTACGTACAACAAAGTTGATCTGGACATGCTGATTTCATTTGAGGAGAGAAGGATACTATTTGATGATTTTGAAACTGGAGATGTAGAGTAACTAGTCTTCTAGTCACCTTGGACACTTGAATTACATATTACGGATTTGATTGGGGACCTTCCAATTTCATTCAAAGAAGGTAGGAAACTATTTAAAGATATTGAAAATTGGAAATATACTAGTTTTCTGGTCGCCTTGGGCTCTTTTGGTTGCTCAAATGGTTTTTCTGTTTCAGGGGTACAGCAAAGTTTGTTTTTGTGCTGAGTAAATGAGCTAACTCTTCTAAGGTGTTCTTCCATACCAGACACAGATTTGGTATTGCTGGATGGATTTAGCAGGGAAGAATGACTGACTAGCTTCTATTTGTATCTTGTAAAACTGTTTTCGTTGCACTTTTTTCATTTATGGGGGGTAGGTAAGTTAGTGTTGTATAACTTTTGGGTTTACTGTAACAAGTAATTGTTTAATGCCACCGTAAGGGAATTTGTTGCTCAAGTGGTTAAAAGCATACATTCTCTTATTTTGATTTTGTTGTGAACAAGTGAATTTTATGCCCCACAACATCCCAAAAATAATAATCAAATAGACATGAGCCCAATAATCTAGTGGAGTGTTTTGACGCATGGAGGTGTATGGTAAGGCATTCTCCAATCCATTTGGTCTTAAGCTCAAATTTTCCCCCTTAGAACATTTTCAGCAAGGGGACCTAGGGGAGGGCTGGGGGGCGCAAGCCCAAAATGCTGTTTCCAGCAACAAAAAGTGGCCCGGGCAAGGAGTGGGACCCAGCGAACTGGGCTGGCCCGAGCGCCTGCCCGCGTTTTGGAGATGACGTTAGCCCTGGCGTTCAAATTTTTTTAACGTTGGCGCGTGTGACGCGCCCGCTATAGTTCCCCAACGACTAGCTTCCACGTGGTGCGCACTGGGCTCTCCAATCTAATGTTTTCTAGCAATCCAACGACACCCAATTTTTGTGCAATAAAAAATTGAAAAAAAATCAGAACTTTTTTAAAAATACTGAATTTGTTTTCTATAAATACCAACCAATACTCTTCACTTTTAACACCAAATCCTCATACATTTTCTTCTCCTTCTACTCAATATTTTTTTTGAAATTCGAAATTTATCTGAAATGTGAAACCGAAAATCTTATTCGATATGAATAGTATTGACACGTAGGAACCCAAAAATCTTACCCGAAAATATTATTCAAAATAATTGTTTAAGTAAAAAAAGTTGTGAAAAAAACAACAAAATGAATAGTAGTTGCCATGGCAAAGGGCAATTGCTGGAAACACACATAGCTTAATATGGTAAGGGCAACCACTATTCATGTGAATAGTAGCTGCCCTAGCCCCCCCTTGTCATGGCAAGGGGCAAACTGCTGGAAGTTCTCTTAAGAGCAACTATTTGGGTTTTGCCCGAACTCAAACTGTTTTTCCCTCAACCATTCAGACTCAAATTTTAAGTCCGCAACTTTATTGAATTGTTTAAGAATTGTTTAAGTCTAATTTTTTTTCATGAATAACTTTTCTTCATTTAATCTTTTTAAATAACTTCATAATTTAATTTTTGAACAATTTGACCTAAAAAAAATTGAAATTCCATAAATAATTTTATTTGAAAATAGGTGGGTATTTATAGAGTTTGGAGTGAGTTTTGGGGTTCGATATGATTTAGATTAATTGAAAATATTATTTTAACCGTTGGATATAAATTTTAGCCTTTTTATTTTTTATTTTTTTTACCGTTAAAATAACTTAGATTTAATATGAATCGTTGATTTGGGTTACTGTTAGATTTTTTTATTTTTTTATTTTTTTTTTAAAAAAAGTGATGCGACACCTTCTGCAGTACCAACAACACGGGCCCCATTGTTTCTCCCTTGCACATGGGCTACATCATGGCTGTGTGGCTCCACCAAAAAAAAATTCCAGTCCAGTCAATAGCTAGACTGGTATTTGGCACAAAGTTTGGGTTTTCTCAAAATTTAGCCCCTCACTTTTCTTGGATTGAGAAAAGAATTGGGCTAAAATTTAGGATTTTTTGGATTTGGACTCACGGATTGGAGATGGCCTGAGTGATGTAAGAAGCTAAGCCAATCCAATAAAGTCGCAGAAAAGTTAGGTGTTATATATTAAAAAGAAGTAAAAAGAGATTATATTGGACTGGTTCGGTTTGGTTAAACTGCCAGTTTTAAAACCAAAAACAGAATCAGTTGAGCCAATCCAATTCAATTTTTGTTACCAAAATTTGAAAACTCATAAAGATAGACCTGCACCAAACCAACGGCTCAGTCGGGTCGGGTTCAATCAGTTTGGCAGTTTAAAATGTCTCGCACAATGTTGGACAAAGCTTCCGTGAGATGTAAAAGCTGACCTTGTCCAACATATTTTCTAATAATTGAGCTTATATTTTCTTAGATATCCAATAAATAAATAAATAAAATTTGGAAATTTTGATGTCCATAAATTTGAAAACACATTAAATCCACGTACAGTATTTCCATAAATTTGGGTGCAGAAATAAGCTTGGCAGTTTAAAAGTTTGCAGATTGAGAAATCTCAGTGATGAAGATCTAAAATTAATACCACACGAATGCCAGTATGAAAATCATACCCTAGAGTAGGGTCAACAAAAATTATTCACCCCCCATATCAACAATGAACTTATTTTCCTCTGAACTGTACCACTACCTGTTTGGCTTTGTCAATTACAGGATCGGTTGACAAACAATTAGTAAATTACACAAAAATGAAAAAAGAATCGATGTATTGTGTTAGTACCAATGACTACAGTTAGAGCATTTGTTGTACCTGGGGTGTCCTTTTAGTTCACTATACCTGAAATCTCTTCAAACACAGTTTTGATGTCGGGTCTTTCCGATGCTGGTTGGATACATCTTAGAGCTACCTGTAGCATACCATCAAGAACTCTAGGGGAGTGCTTAACGCTAGGCTTTTCCAGGATCACTCTGTCAATGCATTCAAAAGAACGATTTTCTTCTGCCAAAAGTCTCACCCAGTCTGTCAAATCAACCACACCGGGTATGCCAGACACAATCTCCCCGGAACTCTTTCCAGTCAAGAGCTCCAACAAGATCACCCCGAACGCATAGACATCACTCTTCAAGGATGGACAGGGTTTACTTGAGCTAGCAAATTCAGGGGGCCGATAGCCAAGAGCACCTGCATTCAGTACTTGCTCAGTAGTGCCAGCCGGAGTCAAAATTCGGTGGAGACTGTAATCTGTGAGGACTGCGTTCAGACTAGGAGTTTCTAATAAAATATTTGTGGATTTGAGGTTGCCATGGGGAATTGCCTTCTCATTATGTAGGAAGTTCAGACATCGGGCAACATCTACAGAAATTCTGAGCCGTTCCTCAAGAGACAGGGGTGAAAGTTTTCTTGGCTCAACTTCTGTAGACGACTCAGAAAGATTCAGAAAACTCATGTCAGATGCAGGAATAAAACTAGAAAAGGATTTTAAAAACATATGCAAAATATTAGAAGGGTGTTGCCGATGTCACCCATAAATTGTCCAATTAAAGTGATGGATTTATTACAGGAAGGTTGGTAGGGGCCAACTGATAATACAAACTCCAATAAATCTGTTTCATGCAATTTAAGCTGTTAATGGCAGATGTTAACTAGCTAAAGCTTTAGGAATATATTTCTTATGGATGCAAAAAAAAAAAAATTGCCTTCATAATAATAATTTATTAAAAGCCAAAATAAGACGGGTCATGCATTTTGACAATAATTCAAGACCAAGACATTTGATTAAAAAAAATTACAGAAATCACACAACGCATTTGGTGAAATACTACTATAAACAGTAACAAAAGGTGTCTCCTACTCTAAAAGCACAACAATTTCCCATTAATGAACACCTGATACACCTTAGCATAAACTGCCATCCTAACCTAACAGGTTGTAAATTTAAAGTAGAATAGCACATAGTAAAAGACATCAATTTCAATAAAATAAATCTAGGTCATTTAAAATACATTGCCCTCTCTCTTTGGACAATTTTCAGTATTGGTTACAGGTTTTAGTACGCTTGGATGTTGGCCAGGTTCTGTCAGCCAGACTGAAGTTCTGGCACACAATTAATATTCTCTAACAAATAATACAAAGTAAATTTTGTAAAAGGAACAAGGGATGATTAAAAGGAAAGTTTTCATTGCAACTCAATTGCCTTCATAATAATAATTTATTAAAAGCCAAAATAAGACGGGTCATGCATTTTGACAATACTTCAAGACCAAGACATTTGATTAAAAAAAATTACAGAAACCACACAACGCATTTGGTGAAATACTACTATAAACAGTAACAAAAGGTGTCTCCTACTCTAAAAGCACAACAATTTCCCATTAATGAACACCTGATACACCTTAGCATAAACTGCCATCCTAACCTAACAGGTTGTAAATTTAAAGTAGAATAGCACATAGTAAAAGACATCAATTTCAATAAAATAAATCTAGGTCATTTAAAATACATTGCCCTCTCTCTTTGGACAATTTTCAGTATTGGTTACAGGTTTTAGTACGCTTGGATGTTGGCCAGGTTCTGTCAGCCAGACTGAAGTTCTGGCACACAATTAATATTCTCTAACAAATAATACAAAGTAAATTTTGTAAAAGGAACAAGGGATGATTAAAAGGAAAGTTTTCATTGCAACTCCATCCCAAATTTATACCATAGCACAGAGTTTATGGAGAAAAATCAATTAACACAAGTGCATATCTTAGTTTATTGTCATTAAAGATTGACCAAAAGTAAAATTAGATGTTACTGATGTTGATTTACTACTCATCAGTTTTCAAAATCATGACTAGATTCCAAGATTGTATGTATCATGATCATAGATTATTTATCATCTCAGCGAGCAATTATTGTACCTCCTAGAAACTTTTATAGTAAAAACCTAGGGGCTATTGGTAACAAAGTAAAAACTGTGACTTTTTTTTATAACAAAATGAATCCAGATCAATTCAGTTTAGTGCTACACATTAAAAATAAAATGCTTAAAACTCAAACTTCCCTAGGGGTTTACTAAAGGTACATAAACCTCCTTTACACCAAGCTTTCTTGTTTAACTATTTAAAGTTTTTCTGCACTGTCATCTTCGACCTAATTCCCAAATCCTACTATTCGAAGACGAAAAAAAAATCCTGTTGATCTATTTACCATTCATTAGTCCTGAAAACCAGTCAAACTGGATTCCAAGTGTACTTCTTGTTATCTTATACAGTAGAATTCTTTTGTTACCTACAGACCACTGGTAAACAAGTAAAAATAGTCAATTGTAGAATGACCAAATGGATCTATTTTACCTTGTCACAGAGTAAGACCAGCATAAAGCTCATTCAAACCTCCTTAAGAGGTTTAGGAAAAATACATGGACATCACTCCTATTTTTAGAAATTTATACCAAGCCCTCTGGTTTAACTACTAATAGATTTTCTGCACTTTTATGATCTACCTAACTCATCATAAATCTCATTGAGTTCCAAAAGTTTCTCATATGCATCATTACTACTCTCAAAATTAACATAAAATTGAAACCTATTGAAACCTCTATATCTAGTAAAGACGCATTAAAATAAATATCATGCAGGTTTTTTTTTTGGAGGAGAGAAAGAATTGCTAGTAAAATCAAGGTGTACACAAGGAACAATATTACACTCCCAGCATTTTAGATATATGTGGGAGCTTCACTTGCCAGAAAACAAAAATAATCTGAAGTATTGGCGATTTCGGGGAGACAAACTTTTCCAAAAACCAGAGGTGGCATGCATATGAAATGCGGTTGTAAGTTATCCAATCTTTTTAGCAAAGATTTTCTGTATGGGTCAGAATCATCAGATAATGGGCTCAGCTTGGCTTGGCAATTTCATTTTGCTGAAATTTTAATGGAAATAATATTCGGGAGATTCTTATTTCAAATCCTAAAATGAAAGATAACAGAGTCTTACCATGGAGATGGAATGCCAACGATTGTGCATTAATATAAGTTGATATAATCAGTTTCTCATGCTCCTTTGGGCCCCAGTAGTAACCGAGCAGAGAAACTAGATTCGGATGTCTGATGTTTCCTAGTTTCTTTACTTCTCTTGCAAATTCTTTCCTTCCTTTTGCTATACCCTCCCTTAGCCATTTCACAGCCAATACATGACCTGAGTCAAGCATAGCTTTGTACATTGTTCCATGACAACTCCTTCCAATAGCTTCTGCAGGAGCACATGAAAGTTCTTCCGCTGTGAACACCAAGGAGCCATCAAACAGATGTAAATCACCAGCCAATTTATCTGGAGAACAAGTTTTGAGCACATCAGGACTCTCAAGTGGTTGTTGATTTTTAGAAGGTGATAGATTTGATGATGATAAGAGAGACATAGGAGCAGATGTCCCTTCCCCTATTTTTGTTGACTCAGGATGACCCAAATTCTTAGGTTTCTTTAGAACTGATGAAGTATCACAGGCATCATGAGGAGACCTCGTTTGGGATGATGGTGAAAGATCTTGAGAAGGTTTTGAGCCGTCTACACTTTTTTCAGGTACTGATCTATGAGAAAGGGCAGAGCCTCCTTGTTCGACATCTTTCTTCCCAGAATTTTCTTTCGAACTTGTACATTCCTGCCAATGAGCCCAGTAATAGATCATCATACATGAAAGAGCTAAAACAGCAGCACCACCAACCAAACCTGCTATGAGGGAAATTCTAATAGCAGCTTTCTTAAGGGGCCTGTGCTCCGTAGAAGTATTATTGAGGACACCCTTCGGTGATGATAGGGAATGGGGAAATGTTAGCAAAGAGTTCCCTGGATAAAATGCGGAATCAGGAAACTGCCGTAAGTTTTCAGGTACAACACCAGAAAGATGATTGAAAGAGACGTTAAATCCTTTTAGTTGATCTGGAAAGTCTTCAGGAATGCTACCATCAAAATTGTTCTTAGATAGGTTGAGATATACCAAGTTATGAAACGCACTGATCTCTGCAGGCAAATGACCACTCAATGAGTTATTAGACAGATCTATAAATACCAGGCTCAGATTTTGCACGGAACTGTTTGAAGGATGACTTGAGATTTCCTGGACAGGTATTGACCCGGAGAAATTGTTGCCTGACAAGTTAAGATCAGTCAATTTAGTTGACGAGAAAAAGCTGGGAAGAAGGAATCCTTGTAGCCGGTTGAGGCTAAGATCAATCACTTTTAGCTCTTGGTATGTACCCAATACTGGTGGAAGAGCACCCTCTAATGAGTTGTTGGATATCTTAAATGAGGTTAGCCTAAAAAATGGAGATGTTTCATTAGGCAAGCTTCCTGTCAAGGAATTGGAACTTAGCTGGATAACTTCAATGTAATTTCCCCAACTTTGGATTCGGGACAAGTTACCTGTGAGCATATTATTACTCAGATCTATGATGGCACAGTGCCCAACCATGGCAGGTAAGGAGCCTGACAATTTGTTCGAAGAAATATTAAGCTTCTTCAGAGTTGCAGAGGTGATGCTTCCTACTGGACCTGTCATGAAGGTAAACAGTATAACTGTATAGAGGAAAGGGAGGAGGAAAACAGGAGTAAATGAATGAAATTGTAAATTTGAAGATGATATGATGACTTTTAAAAACTGCAGACCTCAAGCAATAACACACAAAATATCATGCAAAAGAGAAATTCCGCATACTGAAAAGATGGACGGGCCACTACTGTAGCATTTATACTAAAACTGATTCTTAAAATGATTATGATTGTCTACTCATGATTACATGTACATCAAAAAGACAGCATTTGTTAAGCTTGTTCATGCTCACACCTTCCCCCAACTTAAATCCCTGTCTGAACAAGATGAAAATTTAGTCCCCACTACTGGCTATAGAAACTTAAATCTGCACGCGCTGTTTCTGATGGTTCATGAAGAACTTCGGATCATGGTTTTACATGAAGATGCTAATGTAAGCATGCCAACATTGTCATCCAACATATTTTTATGTGATAATGTCATTAGAGATTAATCGCGTAAAGCAATAGCATTTTTATTACAGAGAGAAAAATAACTAAATAAAAGGTCATTCTTTTTTTTTTTAGGTGAGACCCAAGGGTGTCCACCGCCGACAGCAGTGACTAATCCCTTTCGCCGCGGGAGCTTTCCCAATGGAGGTAAACGGCTGGCCATGAAATGCGCTCCATTCCCATGGGCGGGGATCGAACCCCCAACCTCATGGTTAAGGAATGAGGTGAGCTACCACCACACCACATCTCATGGTTTAAAAGGTCATTCTTTGATGCGATCGTAAGTCAATTATTTCCACTTCGTTTATTTTCAATTTTCATACGCAATTTGAAATATAAAAGGAAAGAAAGTACTTTTACATATCCTCTACTAAAAAATGAAGTTGTGTGCCAAAGCTAAGTGTAGAAAACTGTTAGAATCAACATACCTTCAAGTTTGTTAAGACTAAGATCCAGTTCGGACAAGAGCGTTGATCTCTCTTGCAATAGAGCTTCCGGTAGAGAACCAGAGAGCAGGTTGCTTCCAAGCCGAAGTGTGCGCAGAGAGACAACAAAATAGAAGGAAGGTATAGGACCCACTAACTGATTATAACTAGCATCAAATGTCTCCAAACTATCAAAATATGGCATCCCATCGTGACGAAAAAGCTCTCCAACCAAGGAATTGTGGCTAACATTCAAATATTGAATAGATGAAACAAGAGAGGAGTTACCAAGTCCCAAATCCAACGAACCAGAAAACCCATTGCTGCTCAGATCAACATGGACCAAGCTACCCATTTTGGGTAGAAAATTCATAATGTCTCCAGAAAAGCCATTAGCTCGAGCATCTATATACCTCAACTGTTCAAGTTTGCCTAAACCAGTGGGAAAAATGCCTTTAAACTGGTTTGAAGAAAGATTCAAAAGCACTAAACTCTTTAAGTTGACCAAAGCAGAGGGTATTAACCCATGAAACAAATTGCTTGAGAGATCCAAGTATTCCAGGTACTCAAATAAACCAACCTTTGAGATGGTCCCCGTCAGCTGGTTGTTTGAAACCGACAAATTGCGAAGCATTTTAAGACCAGTAATGGCTGAAAAGCTGAACTCACCGACCAGTCCAGCATCATTTACAGTGATTGATGTCACACGGCCATTGTCACACGCTATACCAACCCAATTCAGGGGGCAGCCATCAGAGTCCACGGACTTTGAATCCCATGAAACAAGAACTTTCCCAGAAGGGTCTTTCTGAATGCCTTTTCTGAGCTCTAAGAGTGCTCCCAGATCTGACTGTCCTGATGCAATTACTACTAACAGCAGAAATAATATCAAACTGATTGTCTGCATTACTCCTTGAACAGCCCCAAGCACCCAAACTTGAGGGAAAAGAAAGAGAATGAGAATTTACCAAGTTACAACACAAAGATATTTACTCTTCTTAGAAGTATGAAAGGAAGGAAGAGTTCAAGAATTGGTGCAAATTTAAATTCAAGTGGCAACTATTTGGATACAAAGATATGGATTTTACAAGAAAGACAAGTAGCAATAAGTAATAGGAGAGAGAGAGAGGGAGAGTTCAATAAAATCAGTCAACAATGGAAACTGAGAATTAAAGAAGCCTACTTAATTTATTTCCCACAGCTCCACAATGGCTATGATAGTGAACCCACTGTCATAAATCCCAACAAAATCAAGCGAATCTCAAAATGTAGCAACAAAACCATACTCAACATTTACAGAAAATGCAAAAAATGCAATAATGCCTAGAAAACAGACAGCTCCAAGAATGAGCAGCTCTGCATAATTAAGAACACTACAAGTACAACAACAACAGGAGTTCAGAGTGCTAAGAATCTAGGGTTGTTGTTTGGGAATTATTGGTATCTGGGCTACTTTTGGGCCTGGGTTTGATGAGCTAGCCTCGTATTCTTTTGGGCCATATCTAATGGAAGTTTTCTTCTTCAGCCGGAAAAAAAAGAGAAAAGTCCAGGCAGTTAGATAATTCAGAAGAGGAGGAGGAGGAGGAGGAGGTAGGTGGTGGTGCGGTGTTTGTATCATCAATCATTATTTGTGAGGAAAGCCAGATAGAGAGACAGCTGCTTCACCTTTCCGAAGGCATTAGTGTTAGTTGGAAATAATATACAATTCATTGGGCTTAGTGCCTTCACTCCCTCACTCACTCAAAGTGAGCGCGATGGTTTGACCTCGGCTCTGTCATTCACCCACTACTCTTTTTATAATTATGATTTTTATTGTAAATTTATTAAGCAAAAACATTCACATAAGAGCATCTCCAAGTTAAGGGGTCTAGTTTAGTGAAAAAAGACTTTAACTTCCAGATTAGTGGTCTTAAGTTCGAACCCCCATAACACATTGGTAAGCCGATATAGTCTAACCTAATGAAAAAGAGCATTGGCTTGTGTTTGTACTATATTTGACTGGCCTCTTATGCCATGACACGTGGAAAGGATCTAACACTAAGCAAGGCCAAATAGCACACGCTGGCCAGCCCAGCCTTACAATATGTAGGTGCCCTCGACACCCACGACCGATTCCATGCTGGCCGGCCCAGTCGCACAGGCCCACAACCCCCTGCTGATTCAGCCTCCCAGAAGGTATCTTGCAAGAATCTCTCGGGTTCCTCACTAGTATATTCGTTGGGACACGTGGCAGCCTCCCAGGCTACTCCCCTGAGTCTCACATCGAAACTTCACACCAAAAGAACACATGAATATTGTTGGATGTAAATATGTTTATAAAGTGAAATGCAAAGCCGATAGTTCCATGGAACTTCATTAGGCCTGCCTGGTTTCTGAGGGGCCTAATCAACAAGAAGGGGTAGACTATGATGAGAGCTACAGTCCCGTTGTCAAACCAGCTACCATCCGAACCCTTTTTACTTTGGTGGTTTCCAAGGATTGGCCTCTTCAACAATTAGATGTTTGCAATGCCTTTTTGAATGGCATCCTAAAAGAAGAAGTCTATATGAAACAATCCCCTGGCTTTACTTATCCTTCATGGGCTAAGTATGTGTGCAAACTTCATACGGCTCTATATGGCCTTAAGCAAGCTCCCCGAGCTCTCTGTTTTTTTTTTTTTTTACTTATTGAACGATTTTTTCACAACCATTTAGATGCTTCTCTTTTCATTTGCGACACCCAGGATCCCTTGATTTTTGTCCTTATTTATGTTGATGATATTATTGACACAGGTCTCCAAGCTCATTAAATATCAACTTTCATTGATCTTCTTTGCTCCAAGTTTGATAGTTGTTGAATGGGTGTCATTAGCTATTTTATTGGCGTGGAGATTCGTTGTACTCCGACTACCATCTCATTATCTCACGCTCGTTATGCCCTGGATCTTTTGAAGAAATTTCATATGTAGTCTTGTAAGCCCAGTCCCACGCCCTTGACTTCCAGCTGTCATCTCTCCTTTCTTAATGGTGATCCCTTGTCGGATGCTGCTACTTATCGGAGTATGGTTGGTGAGTTATAATATTTGACCTTGTCTCGTCTGGACACTTCCTATGTAGTCAATCAGGTTTGCCAATTTATGCACGCTCCTCGCACCACTCATCTTCAAAGTATTAAATGAATTTTTCGTTATATTAAAGGCACTCTTAAGCATGGGCTTCTTTTCCTTCGAACTCCTAATCTATCTCTTTCCAGATTTTTTGACTCATATTAGGCTGGTTCTATTGATGATCATCAATCTACTATCGATGCTTGCATTTTTCTTGGCCCTAATTCTTGCTTGGACAACCTAGAAGCAATCCACTATTTCTCGTTCTAGCACTAAAGCGGAGTACCGTGCATTAGGTACTACGCATGCTGAGGTTCGATGATTCTATTACTTGTTTCATGGGCTTAAATTCCTCTTTGTGCGTCATCTTACATCTTTGTTGAAATATGTTCGCGCTTCATATTGCTGCTAATCCTACTTTTCATGTTCGGACACATCACATTGAAATTGATTATCACTTTATTCGCACTCGTTATATTTCGCCTACTCATCAATTGGTTGACATCTTCACTAAAGGCCTAACCCGTGATCCATTTTATTTTCTTGTTCCCAAGCTTCAGCTCCACTACGTTTCGTCTTGCTTGGGTGAGGGAGTCAAGTGACTAATTTGACCCTTGCATCAGTTTCTCCACAACCATTGATGTCTCACTCAAATCATGCATTGACATATCACCATTTAGAGAATTCTAATAGGTAATTTATTTTATAATAATAATAATGCTTTTTGTACCACATTTATTGACCATATTAAAGACCACCTCTTTAATAGAGGTGGGCCACACCAGTGTATGTGGGACCGATTTGTATTAGAGAGGTGGTCAACAATATGATCAGTAAATGTGGTCCAAATAGCAACACCCTTATAATAATTGTAATATTATTTGTATTGATAGCCTAACAGATTTGTATTAATAGTCTAGGTTGTTATTTATCATAAGTAGGCTTGTGCAAAAGTCCACTCTAGCTTGTATGTGTTGAATGAAA